CTTCCTATGGGGGAGGGAAGGGGTCTATAAAGTGGATTACTAGTGTTGACTAGGTAATTCCAGATTGATTGATTAAAAGTTACACTCTATCATTCCTATTGTTTCCATTTACATCCTAGTATCATACTGAACAAAATACACAAGCATGTTTGCATGCACATATGCACAATACACAAACATGTTTGCATGCACTATGCACACGCACACAGAGGATATTACTTGGGAGTCATATGCAGTTTGAACCTCTTTTGGCTACTAGAATCAATTTTATATATCCTGAAAACAAATTGAGATAGATCGGTTTATATTTTTCTCCTCAAACCACTGGTATTTCACTCATTCATGTCTAATCTTTTTTTTTTTATCATCACTCCAGTTTATTTTTTATTTTTTTCATGTCTAATCTTCTTTACAGTGTTCTCTTTCTCCAATTAGACAAATTGAGTTAGAATATTTATCTTCGTTTTATTAGATACAAACTTAGTATAAATATCATAGGTGTCAATATATTTACTATTTTCTTTTCTAAAGGAATATTGAAACTGTTGAGACTCTTCGAGATTTATTTTTAGCTCATTGATGAAATTCTCTGACATTTTATTGGTGGACAGCCAAGAAATATAAGCAGTATTGCATAATTCTCTGCTTATGTCTTCCAAAGTAAGTATCAATTATATTTTTAAAATAGCTTTTTTGAGGTACAGTTGACATGTAGTAAGCTATATAAATTTAAGTGTACAATTAGGCAAGTTTTGGAATATGCAAACCTCTGTGAAATCATCACCACAATTCACATAACAAATGTATGCATCACCCCTCAGGATTTCCTCTACAATTGCTAATTCCTCCCACCTACATTTCCCTAGCTCCCAGTTTCCCACCATCCCTAGAAAAGCACTGATTTGATGTCTTGCACTCCAGATTGATTTGAATCTTCCAAAATCTTATATAATTAGAATCATACAGTATGTATTTTTGTATGGTCTTTTTCACTTAGTATGATTATTTTGATATTGATTTACATTGCTATGGGTAACAATAGGTCATTCATTTTTATTGCTGAGTAGTATCACATTGTGTGAATGTTCCATGCTTTATCCATTAACATTTTTTAAAAGGTTTATTTATTTATTTTAAAGAGAGAGAAGAGAGAGAGAGAGAGAGAGAGAGAGAGAGAGAATGCAAGCAAGGGGAGGGGCAGAGGGAGAGGGACACAAGCAGACTCCCCACTGAGTGGGGAGCCCAATATAGAGGCTTGATCCCAGGATCCTGAGATCATGATCTGAGCCAAATTCAAGTAATTTGCTCAAAAAACTGAGCCACCCAGGTGCCCCTATTCACTAACATTTTGATTGCATTAAGCTTGTGTATAGTTTTTGGATATTACAAATAGATTGCTGTTAATATTTCTGTACTAGGTTTTGCATAGACATATATTTTTATTTTTTATCAGTTAATGAATATCTGAGAATTGAATGATTAGGTCATATGGTAGGTATATGTTTAACTTCTAAAAGACTACTACACTATTTTCTAAAGTGGTTATACACCATTTCACATTTCCATTAGCAGCATGTGAACTCTAATTACTTTCTTGGTAAAACTTGTTATGGTCAGGGTAGCTATGTATTAACATTTCATTTTGCATTTTCTTAACTGATGTTTAATCTTTTCATATTATTATTTACCATCTGTACATATTCTTTGGTTAAGCATCTGTTTAAGTCCTACCATTTTTAAGTTGGATTGTGTATCTTATTACTGAATTTTGGGCTTTCTTTATATATTCTGAATACACATCTTCTATGAGATGTATTACTTGCAGATGTTTTCTCCGTATCTGTAGTCTGTCTTTTCATTCTCTTAACATTGTCTTTTCAAGAGTGGAAGTTCTTAATTTCTATAAAGTCTAATTCATAAATTTTTTTTTGGTTTGTGCATTTGATATTATATCTAAGACATCTTTGCCTAGCTGAAAGACTTTCTTTTATGTTTTATTCTAGAAGTTTTATACTTTTTGGTTTCACATTTAGTTCTATAATCCATTTTGAGTTAACTCTTATATATGGTGCAAAGTATTAATTGAATTTTTAAAATATCTTATAAGTATCCAATTGTTCTAGTGTGGTCTGTCGAAAAGACTATTATATCTCCACTGAATTCCCTTAGGAAAGTGAATGAATTGCTTAAAAAACGCATACTGCCAAAAGTCTCTTAAGAAATACATAACCTGAGTAGTCTACATCTATTAAAAAACTTGAATTTGTAGTTTAAAATCTTTTCTACAAAGAACTTCAGGCCAAGATGGTTTCACTGGTGAATTCCACCAAACATTTAAGAAAACAATAATGCTAATTATAGACAAACTCTTCCAGAAAATTTAAGAGGACAGAATACTCTCTGACTCATTCTATGGGACGATTGTTACACTGATACCAAAAACCAAGCCAAAATATAACAAAAAATAAAATACAGATCAATATCCATCATAAACAAACATGTAAAAATCCTTAACAAATGTTAAATATAATCCTACCATGTATAAAATGAATAATATATCACGAACAAGTGGAGTTTATTTCAGCAATGCAAGTTTGGGTTAATAGTCAATGTAGTTCACCATATTTTATTTATTTATTTATTTATCTATTATCTATTTATTTATTTATTTTTTAGTTCACCATATTTTAAACAAAACCATATGATCATCTCAATAGATGCAAAAAACACATCTGACAAAAGCCAACCTGCATTACTGATAAAAACTGTTAGTTAACTAGAAATGGAAGGAAATTTCCTCAATTGAATAAAGGGTATTTATGAAATATCTATAGCTAACATCATACTTACTTGTAAAAGACTCCATGCATAAGATCAGGAACAAGGCAAGGATGTTTGATATCACCACTTTTTTTTTTTCTTTCCTTTCTTTTTTTCTATATATTTTTTGTTGAAGTTTGATTTGCCAACATATAGTATAACACCCAGTGCTCATCCCATCAAGTGCCCCCCTCAGTGCCCATCACCCAGTCACCCCTACCCCTGCCTGCTTCCCCTTCATTTCCCAGAGTTAGGAGTGTCTCATGTTTTGTCGCCCTCTCTAATTTTTTCCACTCATTTCCCATCCTTTCCCCTATAATCCCTTTCACTATTTCTTATATTCCCTGTATGAGTGAAACCATATGATTGTCCTTCTCTGATTGACTTACTTCTTACTCAGCATAATACCCTCCAGTTCCATCCATGTTGAAGCAAATGGAGGGTATTCATCCTCTCTAATGGCGCATTTATATTCCGTTGTATATATATATACTACATCTTCTTTATCCATGCATCTTTTGATGGACATTGGGGCTCCTTCCACAGTTTGGCTATTGTGGACATTGCTGCTATAAACATCGGGGTGCAGGTGTTCCAGCGTTTCACTGCATTTGTATCTTTGGGGTAAATCCCCAGCAGTGCAATTGCTGGGTCGTAGGGTAGCTCTATTTTTAATTCTTTGAGGAAACTCCACACAGTTTTTCAGAGTGGCTGTACCAGTTCACATTCTCACCAACAGTGCAAGAGGGTTCCCCTTTCTCCACATCCTCTCCAACATTTGTTGTTTCCTGTCTTGTTAATTTTCAACATTCTCACTGGGGTGAGGTGGTATCTTATTGTGGTTTTGATTTGTATTTCCCTGGTGGCAAGTAATGCGGAGCATTTTCTCATGTGCTTGTTGGCCATGTCTATGTCTTCCTCTGTGAGATTTCTCTTCATGTCTTTTGCCTATTTCATGATTGGATTGTTTGTTTCTTGAGTGTTGAGTTTAAGAAGTTCTTTATAGATCTTGGATACTAGTCCTTTATCTGATACGTCATTTGCAAATATCTTCTCCCATTCTGTAGGTTGTCTTTTAGTTTTGTTGACTGTTTCTTTTGCTGTGTAGAGGCTTTTTATCTTGATTAAGTTCCAATAGTTCATTTTGCTTTTGTTTCCCTTGCCTTTAAAGATGTATCTTGCAAGAAGTTGCTGTGGCCAAGTTCAGAAAGGGTGTTGCTTGTGTTCTCCTCTAGGATTTTGATGGATTCTTGTCTCACATTTAGATCTTTCATCCATTTTGAGTTTATCTTTGTGTATGGTGTAAGAGAATGGTCTAGTTTCATTCTTCTGCACGTGGCTGTCCAATTTTCCCAGCACCACTTATTGAAGAGACTGTCCTTTTTCCAGTGGATAGTCTTTCCTGCTTTGTCTAATATTAGTTGACCATAGAGTTGAGGGCCCATTTCTGGATTCTCTATTCTGTTCCACTGATCTATGTTTCTGTTTTTGTGCCAGTACCACACTGTCTTGATGATCACAGCTTTGTAGTACAACTTGAAATCTGCCATTGTCATACCCCCGGCATTGATTTTCTTTTTCAATATTCCCTTGGCTATTTGGGGTCTGATGTCACCACTTCTATCCAACATTATACTGGAATTTAAATGCAATAAGGTAAGAAAAAGAGATAAAAGAAATCCAGATAGAAATTGGAGAAGTAAAGCTATCTTTATTTTTAGACCACATGATTATTTATGTAGAAAGCATTGTGGAATCTACAAAAAAGTTACTAGGATAAATAATTGAACTTCCTTGTATAAGCAGTAAACAATAGGAAATTTAATAATGTTATATACCATTTATAATAACATCCAAAAATATGAAATAGGATAAATCTGACATAAGATGGATAAGAACTATACACACAAAAAAGCTATAAAACATTGCTGAGATCTAAATAAAAGAAGAGATAAACCATGTCATGGGTAGGAAGATTCAACATTGTTGTGACATCATTTCTCCCCACGATAAAATATCCTTAAGAAATTTATTAAATTTTGCTCATTCTGAAAATCTATACTCACTCCCCTTCACCTGCCTTCTTCCTCTTCTTCCTTATCTCAAGTATCTCCAAACTTGACAATTCAGCATATGACTAAATCTCTAGGCTAAACTTTGAGACCTGAAGGACATTCTCATTAATAAAATGTAAGCCAAATAACAAGCAAAAGCACTGGGAATGAAAGCATTTTGAGCAAAGTATAAAAGTGTTGGGGTCTCTGAGCTTCACTGACAGCTCTCGTCCTGGTTGGCTTTACTGTCCTGTCCCATTGGGTCAGGATGGCATTTCTGGCCCCATCCCACTTCCCTGGTCCCATCAGTCGAAACTGGTAGGGGCTGCAAGGACCAAAGAACACCTCCAGGGCCAGCTGGGGATCAGTCAGGAAGAGCCATGGTATGTTAGGCTTGGCTCCTATGAAGGAGCTCAGCTCATCCATGTATGTGATATAATCTGTCTGCAAAGTCTGGCTCTGGCCAAACCTGAGGGAAAAAAAGAACACATTGGAATGAGTATCACAGCTGTAAACCAAGCACTGATTGGTTACTTTCTACCTCAGAAAAGTCGTATGTTAGTCAGCAACTCCAAGATTATCCCACTTCTCTTTTTCCACAACATTGACTTTATAATTTGTTCTTTGGCTATAGATGAGTTGTTTTTTTTTTTTTTCTCCTTCTTAATCTCCAAATTTGATGTTATTTTGGCCTTTTGTCTCTGACCTGGAGTGAACTGTCCCTAGTGTGTCAAGGTGACTGATTAACTGAAATTAACTATTTAACATATGGTTATTCTTTATATGACATTGCTTAGGATCTGCCCCAGTGTTAGATTTTGGAGCATAGTCTCATTTAATTTCAGGAACCCTGAAGAGCAGGCTACCATTTAAGAAACGAGGTAGACTTTGGGGCTTCTCTTTCTTCTTCTCCTTATTCTTACTGGCCTGTAATATAAAGAGCAGTAAGTAGAGTGAGCTGTGTGAATTGCTGGAACATTGGAGTACCCACTTCACAGAGTTGTCCTGTGAACTGGATGAAACGCAGGGGAGGTTTTGTTGAATCTGAAGGTTCCAAGTTTTCTCTTCTCTAGACCCTTCACCAGCAACTACCTGGCAGCACTCAATGAATGATGTGTTAAGAGGAAGAAACTTCTTATACAGCCACCTATTCATCTGACTGGGATTCATTATCTAGTTATTCTTTCAATAGATTTTAATATATAACTTGAAAAGGATTTACTTATATAGAAGTAATTAAGATAAAAAGTTACATTTACATATCTGGTGTCTAGCCACTTAAATGACTTTCTACAAATCTTATCTATGGTGTACTTGAGAACACATGTTTGAATGAGTCAGAAATGAACATGCTTTTAGGAGAAAATACTAGGGAAAGTGAAATCAGTTTAGTTCCTCATTTGGTTTTCTTGTAACAGTCTTGCCACTGCTCAATTCCTGGCTAGTTGACTTGCTGGCAGACATGTGGCTGATGGAAAGGACTTCTTAGAGACATTTGAGCTGGATAATTCTTTGTTTAGGCCTGTCCTCTGCATTGTAGTATGTTTAGCAATATCTTTAGTTTCTACATATTAGATGTCAATAGTATCCCCTCTACGCTTGGGACAATCAAAAATATCTCTGGGCTTTACTAAATGTCCTCTAGGGGACAAAATCACTCCCATTTGAGAAACTATACCCTAGAGTGTAATGTGCTCTATACTACAAGTGATGTGTTGTGACTGTTATTTTCAATATACTGCTTGATCATAGCAAGTGTTCCAAAAATGTGAACTTTGACTACTAAAAATATTTTAAAATCTATAAATGTTTTCCTACATATAAGGGAAAACTTAGGTTTTGTTTCATTAGTAAGTACAATCTCTTACCATTTGAGTTTCTTTCCCATTTTCTCATCAATATCATCCATCATTTCACTTGTAGTTGGCAAGGTACATGAGTCTAGAAAAGGAATGAAGGCAAGAAATATTAAAAAAAATTAAAGTCAGAAATATAATGATAAATGATGAATTTTTCTTAGTATTTATGAACCATGTCCCTGAAAGATTTTTTTTTTGGTCAAGAAGAGCTGCCTTTTATATCTTTAGTATAACCATTTACAGAAATAAGGACTTGAGAAGTCAATGAACCCTCCTCTATGAATGGCAAAGCTGGCTTGCAATGAGATAGTGACAGCAGAGAAGTTTGTAGCTTCAGATGCCTCAATCTCATATTTCTGTGACATCATGGAGAGCCTAATCCTCAACGTGCCTTAGATACACCTCCTAAGTATAATAGCTTAACAGTTTATTCATATTTCTTATTTGCATCCTCTTATTAAGAATTCAAGAATTAATATGGTAAAATAGTTCATTCTAAGGTACATGGAAATTAAAATGGAACAATGGAAGAGAACATGGGTTTTCCAGCATCAGCCAGCAGCTAGAGGGGATATCAAAGGGAATCAGAAAATTTTTAGTGTTTTACAATACCTTATCAGTGGAGGGGGCACCTGATTGCTAATTGTAGCCCTTTTGCCTTTGTAGCAGTGGCAGAAAGCTATTATGACATTCCCAGTGCCAAATACTTCCTAGTTATTGGTAGTATCTTAACCTGCCCTGTGGTCAGTTGTTTGCTAGAATTTTTGTTTACTTTGTTTGATGTTGTGTCCCAAGTGTCAAGATGGAGTGTGGTACGTAATAGTGCTCAGTAAGTATTTGCTGAGTGACTAAATGATACCTTTTGTTCTGTGTCAATTTCTTGGGTTTATGAACTGTAGCCAATTTTTTTTTGTAAAACCTCAGGTGCTTGGCACTGTTGTGCCTTTAAGGGAAAAACACAATAGAAGTATTTTACAGAAAGCACCCTTATACAAGTTTTCACAGCAGGGTTTATTTAAATAATGATCTTTTGTGGTACATTTGAAATACCTTATTTATCCAAGACATTTTTAGAAAACATATAGTCTATGATTATAACATTTTTTTCATTACCTACAGTCTAAGTTTTTATGGGTAGTATGTTAGATGAGGTATACCTATGTTGGCCAAGGTTTTTGAACCCTTGAATATAAAGGCCCTGTAAGTAATAATGATGATCAATATGATTGATGTAAATTAAATCAATATATTTGAGACACTGCCTTTCTTCATGTAATCCTCATAGTCTTGATTTCTTCACAAAAGCACATTTGCAGTCCCTGGAGACCATGGGGTCTGGAGTGGAGGGAGGAGGAGAAGATTTTGAATAGAGTAGAAGCAACCTGACATTGCTATTCTACAGTTTGACACCAGTAATGTCTCTAGCATTGCCCGCAAAATCCACCACCGCCCTTCTAACCTTCACAATGTACTTGACAGTGCCTTTGCCTACTTCTGTCTTTTTCTTTGTTTAAAGCCTTGCAAAGTCCGTCCAATTTCTCTATGAGAAGTCTAAGCTCTTTCACATAGCTCTTAAGGCCCTCCATGCTGTAGTCCCTTTCTTTATTTCTTGCCACCCCCTGCCTCTGTCTTATATTCCCTTACAGAACACACTAAGACTTCTTCTATTGTAACAATTCCTCTGGCTCTATTTTAAACTGTGTAAAGTCAAGGAGTGTGTCTTGTTCCCTTTATATTCCTAGCACCTTGCACAGTACTTGGTATACAGTAGGTGCTCAATAAATGTTCATTGACTAAATAGATGAAAGACAGAATGGCCCACCTACTTGCAAACACTTTAGCAGCCCAACGAGCCTGCAGGTCAGCTGTGGGGATGGCAGCCCCAAGGGATTGGACAAGGCCAATCACAGCCAAGGTTGGCTTCTCTATTAGTGGGGGGAAGATGCCTTTAAACAAGGTGACTTCACTGTTTCTGCTTTTGATGATGGAGTCATCAAGGAAGGGGTAGGCGTAATCATAGCCCGTTGCAAAGATGATGGAGTCGATGGCCTCAAACATGGTACCATCCTCAAATACAGCTGAGGTCTCTGTAAACTCCTTCACACTGGGCTTGATGGACACAGTGCCACACAGGATGCGGGATGGGAGCTCATCATTGAACACAGGCTCTTTCCTCAGGGGACTGTTCAGAAACAAGAGACAAAGGCTCTTGTAACATACCTCAATTTCAAGAAATATCTGCAATTGTTCATAACACTGGATCAAATTTGAGGATCTAAACATTAGCATGAGGACCACTGAGCTCTTCTTTTGTGGCAGTTTTTTTTTTTTTTTTTTTCCTTTTGCTTGCCACCATCCTTTGGAATTTATGTTTGACCTTTGAAGCTTGAAGATTCCCTTAGGGGTACTTACACTATTTGGAGATTCACCAAATAGATGAAAATAAAACTAATTCCTAGACATAATCAGTAGTTCAGAGAGCAGAATCTGGAACCAGATGTCCCAAGTTGATAATCTACCTCTGTCTCTCACTAGTGGATGCTTCTCTGTATTTGGCTCTTTGTGTGTAAAATGGGAATAGCAATAGACTCTACCTCACACGGTTGTTGTGGGAATTAAATGAACATTACCTGTAAAGCACTTAAAACAGTGCTTGCCACATGCAAGCATCATCATTAAAAGTGAACTATTATTATAAATGAGGTCTTCTATGAGAAAAATCTAACTTGGTGAGTTGTTTTATTACCATATTTGGTTTCCTTTTTTTGGTTGCCAAAATTCTAGGAATGATGTGTTTTGTGATGACATTCTTCATTTTGACTTGTTTCCTTTCAGGGATTTTGGAATGTGCTCCATGCATCTCAAATACTCAGGAAGTTTATGATTCTTAGAATCTGTCTATATCTTCCACAACATTCTCTATGTCTATAATTCTGCAACATCTTTCATTTTCTAAGGTGACAAAAAGTAAGTCACAGTAAAACTTATTTTTCTCTCCCTGACCCCCACTAAAGGGAGGAGTAAGAAGGTGTCATCAATATCTTGGGTAGTTGGAACCTTTTCTAAGAGGGAGCTCCATTCTTGGAATGAATGGATTTCCAAATCTATTCAATTGTCTAAAGGGTAAAACCAGAATATGATTTGCAGTTACTCTTATGAGGCAAAAGTCTTAATCAGCTCAGGCTTTAGAGCTTCTGTTACATTAAACATAATTTTAAATGCATGAAATCAATATTTTTTTCTTTAGGGATGTAATAGTCTGCCCAACTAGGTAAGATAAATGCTGTGGAATGAGGGTCTGGCTTCTAAATCTGGGATTTGCTATTCTAATTTACAGCTTCTTCTTACTTTTCCTTACATGATTCTCTAAACACAATGAAACATTTTTTTTAAAGATTTTATTTTTAAGTAACCTCTAACCAACAAGGGGCTTGAACTAACAACACTGAGATCAAGAGTCACATGCTCCTCCCACAATGAAACATTTTTGTTAGCATGGGCCAAGATGAAATTTCTTAGTGAATCCTTCCTTGTCTTACCCACTTCAATATTTTTCTATTAATATACTGATTCTTCTTCCTAGAATGCCTTTCTTTCTCCCCCCCCTTTTTAAGAGAGAGCGAGAGAGCACTTGAGTGGCATGGCGTACAGAAGGAGAGAGAGAGAGAGAGGAGAGAGAGAGAGAGAGAGAGAGAATCCATGCCTAGCATGGAGCCTGAGACAGGGCTTGATCTCACCACCCTAAGACCATGACCTAAGCTGAAATCAAGAGTCAGATACTTAACTGGCTAAACCACCCAGGCACCCTAGAATGCCTTTCTACTTAGTAGGTATTGCTACTTAGTAGGTATTGGGTTCTGTCTCTATAGAGAAGTGTATTAACAAATTTTAATTTTCCAGGCTCCATCAGTTTTTTTTTTTTTCTGAGATTTTATTTATTCTTGAGATAGAGAGAGAGAGAGAGGCAGAGACACAGGCAGACAGAGAAGCAGGCTCCATGCATGGAGCCTGACATGGGACTCGATCCCGGGGTCTCCAGGATTACGCCCTGGGCTGAAGGAGGCACCAAACTGCTGAACCACCTGGGCTGCCCCAGGCTACATCAGTTTTGTGAATCTTCATTGTTTTATACATTCCATGTGTCCCCAGACTCTATGATCGAGGAGGTGTGCACTTTCATTTTGAGATTTTCTACTTTCTGAGGCATGTTAATTAATACTATTTTGTTAATTGCTCCTTAGAAGCCTATTAGAGGGACGCCTGGGTGGCTCAGCGTTAAACAACTGCCTTCGGCTCAGGGAGTGACCCTGAAGTCCCAGGTTTGAGTCCCAAATCGGGCTCCCTGCATGGAGCCTACTTCTTCCTCTGCCTATGTCTCTGCCTCTCTCTCTCTTTCTCTGTCTCTGTGTCTCTCATGCATAAATAAATAAAATCTTTAAAAAAAGAAGCCTATTAAAAATTTGAGTAATCTCAAATTTTATATCTTATTAATAATTTAATAATTATCTTAATATAAGAACCAATATTTGTAAAGCTTTATAGTTTACAAAATGCCTCATATATTTTTTATATTACTGGATATCACAGTAGTCTTAAAGAATAGATATTATTATTGCTATCCCCATTCACCCATAGCATGGATGAGATATTCCTCAAAAAGACAATTCATGAATTGGCTCAGCTCTCAAAATTCTATGCTATAGCTTATAGCTACCATAAATGAGTCTTGCATAGCAGGGGGATCTAGCTGCTTGCTTCTTTACCACTTTGTATTTTCTCATACACCTTTGCCCACTAGAGTCATTTCAGTAAGATTTTCACACATACATGATCTCCAGGTATACTGTGTCATTTTTTTAAAAGTAGATTCTGATTCTATACTGTATCATCTATGCAGTCCTCTGTGTATTCTCAATAACCTCAGTTAGTTGACTAAAGTTAGACCTAGGGATCCCTGGGTGGCGCAGCGATTTAGCACCTGCCTTTGGCCCAGGGCGCGATCCTGGAGACCCGGGATCGAATCCCACGTCGGGCTCCTGGTGCATGGAGCCTGCTTCTCCCTCTGCCTATGTCTCTGCCTCTCTCTCTCTCTGTGTGTGACTATCATAAATAAATAAATATTAAAAAAAAAAAAAGTTAGACCTAGAGAGAAAAATTTCAACTTAAACTAGTGCCCCACTTTTCTGGATGATAGGAGTTACTTGTCGTACCCATTTAAAGGCATCAAGCCATAGTTCTCATGCTTAAACCATGCGTTCATCTTCTTGACATATAACCAGTCAGAGACAAATGAAGGAAGGGTATTTTGGAGAAAGGATGCAAAGCGGGTCACATATACCATGTCCCAAGGATAACCATCATTCCAAACCCGGCTCATGACCCAGGAACCACTTCTGCTGCTGATAATGACCTGGTGGGGAAGGCAACATGGATTTCAATATCACTCTGTAAGAAACAAGCAGATATAACAAAAATGGACATTTTCTGTGGACATCTCCATACATTTCCCTCAATATCCAGGAAGAAGCATTTTTAATGAGTTGGGTCAAGATGGAAAGTCCATGATTGGAACTAGGTAGAGGCAGAACTACTCTGTTTCTCTACCCCAGAGGGCTAGTGCATAGCTGTTGAAATAATGAGAACCTGACATCTTGGAACAAGAAGGCTGTGTATTCAATTGTGGTAGGTTCAGTCTTCACAGAGTCATAGACATAGATGGTAGGACTGGTAGGGACCAGCCAGTCCAGAGCCTCAGTGGTGGTGGGTGGTGGTAGTTGCTGGATTAAGTGGGGATATTTAGCTAAATTTCTCCTGGAAATTAGATTGAGGAGATGCCAAAGAGTTAATTCTGTTCTCTGCCTGAAGTTTCCTCTTCCAGTCCTTCTTACACCACCACTCCATGACCTCTGCTAGGCATCCAAACCATGGCAGCTGTCTCAGTCCTGAGAGAAGCCCAGGTACTTATCTATTTTTTATTGCCACTTTTTTGATAACCTAGGGGAGTTTGACTTCAAAAAATTCATTAGGTTTTATTTACATCCATTTAAGAATTTGTTTATTGAGCACATATCTCCTTGGGAGTAAGTTGAGTTTTTCAAGGATTATTGGTCATGGATGATTAAGCTTGGAGTCCTTTGGGCAGTCTTCCTTGACTTTATTCAGGCTAAGTTAGGTTCTTTTTTCATGGTGCTGCCACTGCTACACCTAATGTCATTGAAGTTTTATTACCTCCTTTCATGAAGGTGTGTACCTGTCATCTCACCTCCACCCACTGACTGCTCCTGGAAGTCTAGAAGTAGTCTGAGTTATTTCTGTGTTTATTTTTAGTCTGACATTGTTCTGGCATATAACATGTGCCCAGTGGTTATTGAGCACTGGCTATTGAATAGATAAATGATAGCAAGAACCAAATCTTACATGTCTTCAGACCTTCAGAATGATAAGCACTATACCTTTTACATGGTAGGTGATAAGAAATAGTGTTAAATAAATAAAGGTGGATCCCAACTAACAACAGTTTGTTTAGAGGTGATCAGAAAATAAAATTAAAACAAAAAAGGCACTCATATATACATATATACACATGTACACTTATCTCTGATTCTAGCAGAACATACTTCCTTACTAGCCTGAGCCACATTACCTTCACATGCAGAATGTCTCAAATCCTTCTCGATTCAAAGGGCATATGCAACAGGTGGAACCCTTGTAGTATGACATGGCAGACATGAGCCTCAGTGCCTAAGCTGCTGATTTAATAACACAGCTCTATCCTAGGTTTGTTTCACAAGGTGTACCTGTGTAGCCAGACGACTGAGCTCAACAGCGATGTCAGATCCTGAATTCCCCAGGCCGATCACAAGGACCCTCTTCCCCCTGAAGGCTTCTGGGTCTTTATAGTCCCTGCTATGGAGGTACTGGCCTTGAAACTGTTGTAGGCCTATGGAACATGAGGAGTGGTTTGAGTTGATTTTCAGAAGAAATGATGAAGATTCACTGTTTTCATTTTTTAAAAATTCCTATTATCAGTCTTATTTAAAAAAAAAAGTTTCCTAGTTGAAATGCATTTATCCTTTTAGTGTTTTTTTGACTCTAAACACCCAAATAAGAACTTACAATGCCTTAGGAAATCTATAATATGGGAACTTCTATTTTGATAGTAATAATAGCTAATATTTATTGAGTACTTAATGTGGGCTAGGACCTCTGCTAAAGAATTTACATGTTTGGGATCCCTGGGTGGCGCAGCGGTTTAGTGCCTGCCTTTGGCCCAGGGCGCGATCCTGGAGACTCGGGATCGAATCCCACGTCGGGCTCCCGGTGCATGGAGCCTGCTTCTCCCTCTGCCTATGTCTCTGCCTCTCTCTCTCTCTCTCTCTCTGTGTGACTATCATAAATAAATAAAATTAAAAAAAATAAATTCTTAAAAAAAAAGAATTTACATGTTTAACCATTTAATCTTGGTAACATCTCTGAACAGCAGATACTAGTATCTGTATTTTAAAATACAAGGAAATTGAGACAAAGAAATTAAGTGACTTGTCTAAGGTTACATGATAAGGAACGAGTGGAATAAGAGGTTGAATCCAAGTGTTCTAAGGCTACATTCAGAATAAATATATTGCCTCTTAACCTTTAGGCTTTCAATCATCTATTCTTCCTGAATCTTCTTACTCTTTTAATTATCATGGCCTATGAACAACATGCATGGAGATGAGAACTCTAATATTTTTGCATGGAGATGAGAACTCTAATATTTTACAGTGAACATGTGTTCTGGTTGCAAGGAAAGAAGGAAGGAAGGAAAAAGGAAGGTTGCTTATCTATTGTATTTATTTGATATTTAACGCTTTAGTATAGTAATGGAGTATGCCACTATACACACACAGATACACACACATATACACACAGAGAAATTTCTAAAGTTAATTTGCAGAATGTGGCTATAGATGGCATTTAAAACCCTTCCTCTCTATCCTTTACCTGTCTTCATCTGATCTCTGACTTGCAGGTCTTCCATTGTTTTAGCATAAGGGTTCAGAAGGTCAGTTATTACTATATTTCATATATCAGACTCCAATATTTTGTTTTGAAATCTTTGGAATCTTAAGAATAACTATTATGCACAAACTATGGAAAGACCTAGTTCAACTGTTGATATTTGTGTATAAGGCCCCAGACTATTATATGTTTTCCAAACTTACCAGGAAAGGAATCAGTTGGTAGATTGGGGTATACGTGATGTCCTGAACAAATCATTACAGCATCAAAAATAGCAGATTCCTGTTTCCCATCCTTTTCTGAAACAACTTCCCATTGTCCAGTGACTAAGAAGCTGGGACATTTCTTTATACTAGAAACCAGGGTCTTAAAGAAAACCAGAAAGAAATTCTTTCTATTTACAATTCTATTGGTTTTAATTCTCTCTCAGTGTTTTCATAGAGGAAATAATTGTCATGAGATCACCTGATCATTGAGAAATATATGGGAAGACAGTGATTCTTCAAATCTCCCAAGGAAAATTACTCAGTGGGGCATATTTACTTTTTTGACATCTAGTTAGCATATTTGGGATAAACTGAATATTCTTGTGAAAGATGCCATGTCATTTGCTTATTGCCACCCTCAACTGACATAGCTTCTTTCTGACTTCATTTTCTATCATTTCCATAAATATGAAAATGTCTCAGGGTTCAATCCTTATTTTTCCTTTGTGATGTACAGATACTCTCCCTTGGAAATATTAGCCACTTCCATAGTATGATTATTATGTAAATATATATTAAATTAAATTAAATATAATAAATAAAAAATAAATTAAAATTTATTAAATATAATCACAATTCATAATTTTATTATCTTTATTTATATATATATGCTTTGCATTTAACAGTAATGAATTGAGGTTAGGAATTCTAAACAAATAGAAATTATTGTTATTTACAGAGCCAATGTATCTCTGTTATAACTGCTAAGTCTCCTAATCTAAGGAACTAAGTAGGTGAAAGATGAGAGCAATGACTACTAATCATCCATTTAAATTTTTACTCTCCTCATAATGGCAGAACATCTAAAGAACTTCTTGGCATTGAACCCAAGAAGTCTAAATATGGACTAGAGAATTTAGTATTGTTTTGAAAACATGACAGTATGAGGGTGGAATGTACACTATGATGGTATAGGCGTCTCTTGTATTTTCTATTGTATTCTAAAAGCTCTCAAAAACTAGTGGAGAATATATTTAGGGGAAAAAATAATTCACAAATACTTTATAATTCAAACCAACATTTGATTGGCAAGCTAACCAAACATTTGGCTCTTATTTCTATACCAGAATACTACACTCTTGCCTCCTCCTCAACCGATAAACATACTGATATCAACAGCACCAGTTATAGGGCCTTTACCTCAAACTGTATATATTTTAAAAGATTCTTCTTTTGAGCAAATATTCTTATGTATTCCTGGAGTTTGCTGTGGTGCATATAGTTGGGATAATCATCGGGATAAGGGAAGTCTGGAAAGCACATCATCTCTTTGGAAGAGTTGGTGAATACAGACTGGTAAATGCTGGCTCTGCCTTCTTCTGCACGGTCCTAGAAAGAATAATAAAGCTTAAAGAGGAAGCCACGAATGATGTTCCTTTAAGTGAATATTCAATTTTAGGTTGACTGAAACCTTTTTAATGTATAAAAAAAGTAGATATGAAAACAATTCATAGCTCTCTGTAAGATGTGGGAAAGAAAGTCCTTCGCATAGCACCTGGCACAGAGCTGGGGCCCTATCCGTTAGTTCTCTTACTCGAATTCCCCTTGTGGGTTAGCTCTGTGTTGGTAGTCCATAGAGTTTTCTTTCTTTTTCCAATCACAACAACTGGTCCTGATGTCACGTTCATGTTAAAAAAACACGACTAGATGGTCTAAAGGAGGTGGCAGGTTTTACTCTACTTGGCTATATGGAATTCAGTGAACAGTTCACTAGCAACAGAACCTTCTCTTGAAGTGGCGGGTATATTTATTTGGCATAATCAGACTCAGCTGAGGGCCCTTCTAGATCACAGATTCCTGAGTCCCACAGCCAGAGTTTCTGATTCAGTGTGTCTTGGGTGGGGCCCGAGATCTGCATTTCCCATGGTTCCAGGCAGTGCTGATGCTGCTGGTACAGGAACCAAGCCTTGAGAGCCACTGCTCTATTATAAATGAACTCTGTGCTTGAGGAGTTCTCTATTCACCAAGTAGGGTGCTCACCCCTCACCAGAGACACACGGGAAAGCAGAAACCTCAGAACTTGTATGAAATCTTGTCACTTGATTATGAAGCCACTGTGTCATTGAAAAGTGTCTTCTTTTTGAGAAGTAGTTGAAGGCTAAGTGAAAAACAAACATTTCCTCTCTGCTGTAAGGACAGGATAAAAGTTCACACAATGTGCTGCCTTGAAAATACATTAAAAAAACTGGCAGCCCCTGCTTCCCTCAAACTCAAAGGAACTTCCATAAAATGTGGGAAAGGGATGGAATGACATGTTCCTGCTGGATTCATGGCATCTCTCTCCCTCCAGCCCCATACCAACCTCTGGAAAGGAATGAAAGGCTTGTGTCTGGGGTCAGGGCAGGGGCTGCCTCAGGCCTCAGTGTTTGGCATCAGATTGAAACTAAAAAACTTCCTCTACTCATGGTTGCTGTATTTCTCATAAATAGCCAGGCTCAGAGATTTTTTAACTTTCTTAAGCCTCACTTTGAGATTTCTGCTAAGATCAGAAAAAAAATTTCTGACAGCTCGTGGCTGGCAGATTTTCAGGCTTGAGTCTTTCCCATTCACCCACAGTTGTACCTTTTGTTGCTGGGTGAGAATAAGTGGGGAGGAGGTTTCTCAGTTGTTCACTGAAGGGAGGGAGGGCTGAGATTCAGGCAGGGGACTGGTTAAAAGAATGTAAGATTGCTCTGGGGAACAGAAAGGATAAGACCTTGTATTACTTCCATTATGACTGAATCTCTGCTCTTTCGCCTCTTGACCCCAGCCAATCATAACAGGAGGAGGAAGAGTATGTACCCTACGGCCCCTTGGAATTTTTCCTAAAGGACTGTTCTACAAACAAAGGAAAACAGATGTATTATATAACCACGGACAATTGTTCCCGAGAGCTCATATTTTCAATATCAGCATGTGGTGTGGTTTGAGTGGGAAGGAGGAAGTTAAGCCTCTGGCTGACGGAGCTTGCCCTAGACCCAGAGATCCAAGCAGCCATGGTCACATTATCATGGCCTGTCTTGGGTTATAACCATGTCGATGTCTCATCTTCCCCACTAGAACATAAGCAACCGGAGGGGGAGGTCAGAGGCTAATCCAAGAATGCTGTGCATGCATGCCAGCAGTCTGTCTTGATCTTCTTTCAGATTCTATCTCTGCTTTTCAATCCCATTTCTTCTTGCCCAAATATACCCCCAAGGGCCAGCTCAAAAGTTGCCCTCTATGTCATGCCTTTCCTTGCCTCTTTCTTACCAACCGGAAGTCACCCCTAACTCTACCAAGCTCTGATCATCTCTACTGCCCTAATCTCATATTCATTTATAGTTATTCCAAGACTTGTTTTATCTGATTTTAAAATGCTGGCTGTCTGCCGTACCTCTTGTCTGCAGTTATACCTAACATTGTACCCTATACATAGTGTACTCCGAATGTATTTGTTGAATGAATATATGAATGAGTGAGTGGAACAAAAGTCCAGATAGTTCTGGTTCCATTGTATCCCCTTTTGTATTGCAGCAGCATCAAAGTCTTTTGAGGACATGAGGCCTTAATATTAGAGTATATAAAAGTTAAAACATGCTCACATTCAGCCTGCTGGTGTTTAAACCTCATTTGGTTTCTATTTTGCAGAAAAAGCACACGGTGAAAAGTTCAGAATTATCAGGTTTCTCTCTTTCAGAATACCTTCTGCCTAACAGGACTTGCAAGATAAAAACTTATGTAACGCATTTTTCAAAAATCCATTTCTGAGAAGGGTTTGTATATACCAAGCAACTTTTCCTGGCAAAGAAGAAAGGGGTACAGTGTATGGAGGGGACTGAAATTTAGACTATTTTTATGTGTTTACATACCCATGGGGCCGTGAAGTATATAATTCTGCTTTAACAGTGACCTTACAGGAGTGAGATACCCTGTCTTGTGGATAAACCAGAGTCTGACTTTGCATTTTACTGATCTGTCATCTGTTGCTTCCTTAAATAAAATTTGTGATCTGGCTGCATTGGTTACCTTACAGATCCCTGGATATACTATATTCACTGCGTCCTCTTTGCGTTTCATGCTGGTCACTCTTACCTAGAAACCTCTCCCACCTGGTACTGGCACATTGTTAGTGACTGCCCGTCTATGGGATACCATTCAAGACTACAGTGGGAATGGCATTCTCCGGAATTGTGTCGTGTAATGTCCTATACTTTCCTTGTCTGAGAACATCCTTCAAGTCTCAGCTAAGTGCTCTCCTTGCAGGAAATTTCCCTTGACCTGCTAACATTTCAGTAGCGCCCCACCCCACTCCCGCTCTCCCTCTTAAATCTCAAGACACTTGTTCCTTAAGTTGACAATCACCAAGCGCTATCTCATTGTTGCAGTTTTATAACCTCTTATTTGAAATTCTTAGGGCCAGAGATATTTTGGAATTTGTAGATTTTTGAATATTTCTCCATAACTTCCAGTGAGATCTGGGACAGCACCTTATAATTAAATGCAAGAAAATTTCTGCAGTGAAACACAAAATGGGACAAATAAAGATTATAACTAGCCTAATGTCAAATTCAACTCGTTTCCTGATCATATGACTTCAGGAAAGATTTTGCCATCAAACGAATTTTTGCCTATTTTCCATCAAAAGATCGTGGACCTATGTTATAGTTTACTTCACCAAATGGATTGGAAACTATTTACATGGAGTAATTATGTCACGTGTTTTTCATCTCAGTACCTGGCACAAAAGTCTGCCAAAATAGATGTTTAAGCAGCATTTAATTGTTGCTGATGAGTCATAGAGAGCCAATTCATGATTTAGGCTAAGGTGGCTACATCTCCCTTAAAATTGGAACCTTAAAAAAAAACAACCTCCCCCAAAACTCTTGATTATTTCCTAATGGAAATGATCTTATATCTCATATGATACATTCAGGATTATAGGACCTCTCACTTAAAAAAAAAGTCTTGAGATGAATACAAATATTCCTAAGTTAGCACTGATATATTCTATTAGAGCAATGTGTTGTTGTGTGTTGGGCAAGCACTGAGACCAAGACAGAATTTGGTTACAAGGCAAATGGTGTGGATATAATGTCTTCATGTCAAATATGTATCATCTACATCCAATCACAATGGTTGGGAAAGTCAAGACAGAAAGAATAGAAGTTTCCCCAACCTGGCTTTCTAAATTTAAAAATTGTTTTTATGATGAATATTTCCTAATTATATTATTTATCCAACAATAAGGCTGAATGGCAAAGACAGTCATTTTTTCTCTCTGGTTTTGGAACTTGCAGAGTATTTGATAACCACACACACAACACACATGATCATTATTTATCATAACTTTGCAATGTCTTTGCAATACACATCAGTTAATTATAACATCATATCCCATTACAACTGGAAGGCATATTAGAGGAAACCTAATCTCCAACCTTGACATTTGACAAATGAGTATTCAAGGTCCAGAAGGAAAAAAGTGACTTGCCTAAAATTAATCTTTCCAGAAAACCAAAGGTTGGACTATAACTCACACCTTCTGACCTTGGTCTAATCTCTTTCTTTCTTTCTTTCTTTCTTTCTTTCTTTCTTTCTTTCTTTCTTTCTTTCTTTCTTCTTTTCTTTCTTTTCTTCTTTCTTCCCCCACCCCCCTTCTATGTTCCTAGGTTTTCTGCACAATGGGGAACAGGGATAGAATCTTTTTAGTTACATGGAGGAGGCAGTGGTACGTTTTGTTTTTATTATAAATTACTGACATTGGGATCCTTTACAGCCTCGAGATCTGGGCTCTGTTACACAAGCAACAATGTTTTATGAGCTAGCATGAAATAGTTTTGAGTGAATGGACATTAGCATGATGGGAGAGGTAAAATTTTACTTTCTAGATCTGGAGCTTTTGTGACCTACCTCTGAAGTCTGAATAGAACTGATCAGGTTTGATTTACAGAGGACTCATTTCCCTTCTATTGGTATCCCAGTGATATCCCACTCACCGAGAATTTCCACAGGCCTCCGACATCATTGCTTCTCTCAAAGCAGGTGGGCTCCAGCCCCTCTTCCAGGCAGCACCGGATGGAAGCCAATCCACTGACGCCAGCCCCAACAATGGCCACTCTCTTCCCCATGGTTCCCAGAATGGAGGGTCTGGAGAGAGCTTCTTCAGAAAAAAGTCCCTGAATACTTGGAATTTTTCAGTAGGAAGAACCAGCCAAGGTTTTTGTGTCAGGATCCTTACCTTAACACAAGAAGACATAGATGCACATTAACCAGTTATGCTCATTTTTTTAACCACTTTTGCTATATACTAAGATGCAAAATCTGGTTTCTTCTCCTGATTATTCAAGTGCCCCAAATAGCAGAGTCAGTGAGTGTTGGAGCAGGAAGGACCTTGAAGTTCACCAATCTAATGCTCTCAATCACAAATATAGCAATAGTCATGCCAAGAAGATTAGAAATTACTTCTTTGATATCTCACAGCTAACAAGTAAAGTTGGAACTAGAACTCAAGGCTTCTAAGCAAAATCCACTGTTCCATATCACTCCTACTCACTTTGAATGCTTGGCTCTAAGGGGTCTTAGTCTTAATGAGCTGCCTTCTTTTCCCCACAGAACCCAGCAGTTCTTTAAATGTAGAAGAAGATGGTGTTTAACAATGTCTTTTGATGTAAAAATTGAGGAAGGGGGAGGAGTTATTAGTCTTAAAGTAAAAATTCCTTTTCCCTTGTATTTATCACGATGTAGAGCCGTGGTAAAACCTGGAAGAGAAGGACTGAATGTGGTAGGGATAGCAAAACAGGGGAGGGTATGGGGAAGCAGAGGAAGAAAGGGACAGGGGAAGGGCAAGAATGAGGTCCCTGGTCCCAGTTTCAAAACATAAAAGTAATTGATACTGTTCACCGAAGCTGTAAGGTGAAACTTCTGGAAGATTAAAGGAACAATGGTTCTTTTATTTATTTTTGCTTTGGAAGTATAGAATATATAAACAAAGGCTGTGCACCTGGGCTGTTTGTTAGGCTAATAGTGAAAAAAACCCATCAATTTTCTGGAAATGTAGGAGGGCATGACATCAGGAGCTGAGCTAACACTTGGAGATGTTGAGTTTGTAAAGCTAGTGAACTCAAAGGACAGAATTGTGAAGCCACTGAATCTTGTCTCCAGCTCCCTCCTACTTCTTCCCACCTTTCCTGCTTCCATATATCTCCTTCTCCCCCTTCTTTTCTCATACCCTTCCTTCCATTTCTCTGAGTGCTTACCACATGACATTTGTTATAGTAGTCTCTTAGGAATTCAAGATTAAAAGACCCAGTGCTTTCCATCCAGAAGCAGACAGTCTAATGGAGATAGATGATTGATGTTGCAGTGAAAGTTTGATTCAGTGAGTGCAGCACTCAGGCAGGAACCTGAGTCCACCTAAGAGAAGAATAAGAGAGACTTCAAGAGGAAGTGAGAAGAAAACTGAGTCTTGAAGGAAGAATATATGCCTGCCAAGTAGTCAAGGAGCAAGGAACACATGACAGGCAGAGAGAAAAATATGTGCAAATGCACAGAAAAGTAAGAGAACTTGATAGAGCAAACTACAATTATTTCTATGTTGCTGAGAGATAGGTAGGTAATGGGCATAGCATAAGGTAAATTCAACATGCAAGTCTCAGATTATGAAGGATATTGAAGTGCCACACTCAACAGATTAGATACCATCTTTTAGGTTAACATAATCTGTTCAAGAATTCTGAACAAGGAAGTGACAAGATCAGAAAAGGTCAGATTCATATGGAAGCTAGATAAAATAGATATCTGGCTGGCTGGACAGTTAGATTCACATGGTCAGTGACTAGAATCAGGGGTACCAGGAGGCAATTTTGATAGTCTAGAACAGGTGCCAAATGCCTAAAGTAGAGCAGTGTCAGGGGATGGAGAATAGAGAGACATAAGAGATATTTAGGAGATAGATGTTTGGGAACTTGTTGACTGATTACAGACTAGATGCTTCAAAGAAAGTCTTTTCATCTTTGGATTTTATGTTGTGATTTACATGCATATCACTATTGAGTTAGTGGAGAGAGCAGTAACCATTCTATTTCACAAAGAAAGGGACTTAGTAGAGGAATTAGGTGTGTGCAACAGACAGAAGGACTGGAGAAGCAGAAACCAGGAGTTTGTTGGCCACATAAGGCCAACAGGCCTTGTAAGATTATACTGCTAGAGATACATCCAACGTGCAGGAACTGCTGCTGTCACCACTGACACCTCCAGAGGGTTGGTGGGATGTGGAGTTTGGCTGATGTAAACATACCTGTTGGAACATGTTTACAGATCAACACAGTCACAGAAATTCAGCCTCTGTTTCCCTTTGCCTTCTAAGCCCAGATATGTATCTCACTGGAGAACCTAATTGCATTCAAGCCCTAAGTGCAAAGAAGTCTTAGAAGTTTAGTTTTTAGCCTTCTAGTCCTTATGATGCAGGAGGGAACCCAAGTGGGGTGGGGATGATGTGCTACGTGTCACAAAGCAGTGTCCATCACGGTGGGTTATGTGGTGTTAAACGGAAGCCGTTCTCACATTCTTAGAATACCTAAACCTATTCTATTCTTCTCTAATAGTAATACAGTAAATCCTCAGAGATTTATCCTTTTGGTTGTACATTTTGTGATAATTCTTACTGGACTCCAGATCTCTGTAAAATGAACAAATTGAACTAGATAATTACTAAAGTTCTTTCAATATTCCATGAATCTCTTAACTTAGTAAGCTTCACTAAACTTTTTCAAAAATAGAAAATATAAGCTAAAGATGACACAAATGCATTTAAATTGCTTAAGAGGATCTTTCTTGGTCTATGTATCCAACTGTCAAAAATTTGATTTAATTTGCTGCTCAGAATTGCTTGTTAAATAGGAAGTTTCAGCTAATGGAACTGAGAATATAAGACAGTCAACAACATGAAGCATGAAAGAGAATCTTTGGAACTGGTCTCTTTGGAAAGAGCTGTTGGTGTGCTGCTTGTCATTTTCCCATCAAAGAATTGGAATCAAAAGACCTGCTTCTTGAGACAAACATAAGGCAAGGGGCTTACTTTACTGCGCCTGGAGAGCAGCTTGGGGGCTCTATGGAATTTTTGTCTACCTGATCTTGCCTGGAAAATCTGGAGGATGGGATTCCTGCTGCTAACTGTGACAGGGAATTGCGTTTATGTTGTGTTTGGCCGGCACTCCTAGAGGTTTTTTTTTTTTTTTTTTTTTTTTTGAGACAAACCATGTGTAAGGGTTTCCTGAAGGCCAGATATGAGCCACCAAGACAGAGATAATATGGGGTCATATTAGGTCCTGTGTAATAGGGCTACAGAAGTGTCTGCCAGGATAGGGTCCATTCTTCTGGGTCAAGAGTACTATTAGGGAGAGGTCACCATTGTTTGGAGGCCTCTGAAGTATAAGCCAAGACATCCATACAAGTAAGAACTAGTTTTAAACATCTATCTGCCCAGAGACCTGAAGGCCACAATGTTATAATACCAATGAAACTAGATCTCTACCTCCCCTCCCCCTGCCCCCTGCTTGGCCTATTTTTTTAACCTCTCTTTCCCTTCCTTCCTTCTACTCCTTTCCTGGCCTTTCTGAAAGCTTCAGGAATGTCTCTATTGGCATCATGGGGAAGAAGAGTGGAAGCATAGAGTGGTAAAGAAATGCTTCATGTCCCCTTGAGGTTCCCCTGGCAGCAGGTCCAGGTAAAGGTACTAGAGAAAAGATTAGGACTTTAAATGAAGTCCAAGTTTTTGGTTATTACATAGAGACTGAATCTTCCATTTTCTGAATTAAGAGTGTGGTTGTGACTTAACAAGACTGAGGAAATATCTATTATCCAAAGGTGATCAAGAAAGTCATGAGCTTGTGGATCATTCCCTCTAAGTTCCCACAGATTGACTGGATCTTTAGAGACATAAGTGGGGGTACTCCGGGTACTTAATCAGATAAGTGATAATGTCATCATCAGAGTTACTTGATAGATTAAAGTGGGCGAGACTGAGAAATAAGGGGAGAACATTTTTCAAAGTGCTCTGGAGCTGCCCCTTCAGCTCTGACCCTAGGCATGATGGAGGACCAAGAGGCAGAAATGTATTAAGACCAGGGAGAAGGCATTACCAGGGCTCCTCCACCTCTCCATGAACTGGGAGTCTATCTCCTGATTGGTCCCAGCTCTCCATGTCTTTAAAGTGCTATGCCGTTTTTTTGTAGCTCAAACCACTGAGTCTGGCAGCACCCTGAGGTTCACACTAGATTTCCAAGAACTTGATAAAGATCAGATTGAGATTAAGGAACATTTGTAGAATATTAACAAATATTTAGAGGGTGTTTTCTTTCCATTTCCCCCAACACCCTTGTAAGATAATTATTACCATGATTCTTAATTTACTAATGAAGAGACTGAGCCATTTGACTTAATTAAACCACCAAAACTTTATGACTTTATGGTGTGTTTTTCCCAATATTTTATAAAATGAGTGTAAGGAGAATACTTACTTTAGAAAGCATGGAGAAGATAATATTTCAGAGGATGGTTTGACAAATATTCGTTGAGCACCTACAATGTGCCAGGCACTGTTTGAGGCACTGGGATGAAACAACAACAAAAAGAGGACAGAGTACTGTCTCGTAGAAATACACTGTTCTAGTGCAGACTCCAGGATACTGTATGCAAAATGCTTCACACTGTGCCTGGCACTCAGATAATGACAGGGTGGTATTAGGGTTCACCACTAATAATAACCACTATTGTTTGTCTGGACTGTTTACTCACTGTGTAGCAGGCAGTGACCTAAGGATTTTAGACACATTATTTCATTTATTTTTGTAAAGATCTGGGAAGTAAAATATATTACGTTTTCCGTTTTACAGAGGAAAAGTTGATATTTAGAGAGGTTAAGCTGCATAAGGTCACAAAGCTTACATGTGATGGGGCTGTGACACGTTGCTGGCTTCCCTTGAGGGAAACAGAGGTAGGGGTAAAGGAATGAATGCACGCGGAGTATTTATTAGGTGCCAGGCACTGCAGTAAAACATAAAGATGGGAGTAAGCCACACATATTTCTGCTGCTGATACATTTTTGATTAGACCTGCACAGTAACAGAGG